TCGCCCATTAGTTCATTACCTACATCTTATTCACCCACAAACATTCGTTTTCAAGGCGGTATCTCATAGAAAGCACAGACCACCTAATGACTCACTCGCATTCAGATAGGTAGATGTGTGCGAGTCCAACAGGAAGAGATTAATACTAGGGAAAATCAATTCAGCAGAGACCCCCTTGGCATCTTCAGGCCTCCCTGTATACTACCAACCTCTTCTACATGCCTCCCTTGCTCCCCAGGACCCCAGGGAAGGTCTGGCGACCACAGAAAACCATCATGGTAGATTCTGATAAAGATTTGGTGAGTGAATGAGTAGATCAATGAGTCTACAAGACACCAGGCAACATTATTACTACATTCTTTGTTTAGTTGTGTGTTTCATGGAAACCAAGGCACTCTCCTGGTAGGTCTTGTCTCCAAGTCGATTTTAATATTTAGAAATCCAGGAGATTCAGTAAATGGCTTGTTTGGCCTTAGGATGGATGTGGCCTCAGCAGCTAGTATGTGACGATGGTTAGTCCATGTCTCTCAAAAATGGTGTTGAGTCTTGAGATGGGGATCTATATGCTTGAGTGACTTGAGCCTGAAAAAAGTGGTTCTGTTCCTCATTGTCTGCTACTTTAAGAAGATGACAAATAAGATCATTAGGCTAGTTTTTAACTTTTATTAAATTGGAGGTTTCTGAGGAGAAAGAACCAAGATAGCAAGCAATGTTATCCCGCTATTTTTCAAGTAAATATCTTTGATGCAGGACTTTTGTTTTCCTGTTGGAGGTTTCAGTTTCATTAGAATGAATCCTGGGAAGGTTGGCTCGGACACGATAGTGGTAATTAGATAATTACCTTGTTGAGAGACATCTGAATCTATGTAGAAGTTAGCGTTCAATTTAAAAGCTTCGGGTTAAATTGATCCTTTGAAATCAGAACATATCCTGTTAATAGGTATAATAGAATATTTTATGCCTTTAAATACAGCTTTTATTATCAAAGAGGTAATATGCTAATAAATGGAATGTAAAGGCAAAGTTTGGTTCACATTATGCTCATTTCCTATTCATAATGCACCCTGTGGGATTTAAGGGAAACTGTTGTGTTTAGTAGTATGAAATACCCTGTGTTTGAGCACTGGGGCTTTGAGCTTCACCGGAGACTTTTGCATCATCTCTGATCTTCAGTTGAGCCAGGAGTGAGGAGGGTGAGAAGGATGCTCAGATTGGGTCATCTGCTACCATGTGGTACAATTTTGTCCTCAGGGAGCTCAGTGTTTGGAGCGGAAGATTGAGGTCACAACTTGCTTTTCCAGCTCTAGGTAGAGTGCAGCTTGTTAGCGTATTGGCTCTTTTGTTACCATTTGAAGACATGTTCTCTTAGAAGGATAATATGTCTGTTTTCTTTTCTCCTTAAATGTAAATCTATTCTGAGTATTCACATACAATAAAACTCATGTTATGTAGAATCCTGTCTAGATCCCCCAAGGAAGAAACACAGATTGACTATGTTTTCTCCATAGCTAAGTGTTAAATAAAGATTTTAAGTGCTCAGAATTCATTTTAACCATCTTTAAAAAAAAATAATACTACTTTTTCATTTTGAATAGGTAATATTTACGACGTGGTTAAAAAGTATGAAAAATGCGTTAGAATGTCTTGTATCTGTCTGGTTCCCGTTCTCTTCTCTGGAAAAGCAAACATTGTTAGTACTTTTATGTGTATTATGCAGTAGCTTTGTTATGCCTTTAAGAGAAGAAAATAAAATGTGTTCTTATATTCCCATCTTTATACAATAGGGCATATTATCTACATTGTTCCTTAGTATGCTTTTTTTTCATTTACCACAAGAGTTCTTAGTTCTGTCACAGCTGTGGTGTTCCACTATATAAATGTACTGTAATTTTTAAACCAGTCCTCTACTTATGGACATTCGGGTTGTTTCTTCAAGCTTTTCTTTGCCAACAAGTCTGCAGTGAAAACTGCTCTATAGATGTCATTTTTCTCCCTTGTAGGATTCATAAGTGGATAAATTCTGGCTTCCCAGCTGTGAATCCAATAGTTTGTGCTAGGGTGTGTCAGAGAAGGATTCTCACCCAGCTTTTATGTCTTCAAACATCAACTTGAGTAAATGAAATTATGCAGACAGACGTGACCAGAATCATTTTAAATGCTTGAATGAGGTTCTCAGGTAGCATTTAGCACTGCAGCTTGATGGACAGATCTGAGGGTTTTGATCACTTCCCAAGACAGAGCAGTGTCGCGGGTTTTCAGGGCTGGACACTCAGGAGCCGATGCTGATGAATGGGCTTCCCCCACTCTTGAAATTCCAGTTCTCAGGCCACTCAGAAAGCCTGAGGGAAAAAGAGGCTGGTGTAAGGACAGCTTGGGTTTTACTGAAGCAGCCTCGTTCCCTCCCTTACTTCTCTACCAAATACTTTCAATACAGTTGTAAGTTAAAATTTAAAAATATCTTGATAATACAGTGGGGGAAAAAGTAGTTCACCAAGGAGCCAAACGTAAATACTTAACTATGGCCTGACTTTGGTATAGGAGGTAATTTGCAGGAAAATATAAAATTTGGTGCTATAAAGGCAGTCCCTGTATTCTGAACCTCAGTGCGAAAAACAATGTTTAATATGCTAACTTGCATTTAATTAAATATATTTTCTTATGAAAAAACTTACTAAAACTTACCGTTGGATACTAAAATTCATCTGAAAGAGTAAGTAGATGAGAATACTAAAGAACGTTTTCTCTAAAACTGTTAATATGAAAGATTTGCCACTCAGATTTTATAAATAATTATAACCTTACAGTGTTTAAACTTTGATATTGTGTTAAAGTATAAAAAATTATTAGCATATAAAATTGTAGAAAGAAAATCAAACATTGTTAAGGATTCAAGAAATGATGAATTTAAAAGCAATGTACAATAAGTAAATGAATATTTTAATAAGTATTGGTAGGATGTACAGCAGTGATACCAACCAGGAGCATGGGCGTGGGCATCTATCTACCTATGTTGCAGTACATTCTGGGTGGTCAAAGAGTTAAAAGTGTTTATTGCTGTCCCGGTTTTTTTGTTGTTGTTTTGTTTTTGGTTTTGTGTAAAATATAAAAAACACTGTATGAAATCGATGCTTATATGTAAGTTTATTGAAATGAAGAGTTCTCAGATAATGGGCTTGAATGTATTAAAGTAACATCTTATCAGGGTTATTGCATACATATTTGTTTTAGTGATGAAATATATTACATTTCCACCTCATATTCCCTTTCCAAAATGTATGGGAATAGTAGAGACTTGACTTCAGAGACCTAGGTCCTGACCTTGAATCTGTCCCATAGAAGCTGCCTGTCTACACCTGGGCAAGGCCCTCATCTCTGAATATCACCTTCCCTACCAAGGGTGACGGGGAGAATGGAAAGAGAGGAAAGTGAGACCCTCTATGAACAGTAAAACATTATGTAATTATTATTATATGTATGGGAAAAAGAAAAGTTCTAAGAACATTTTAGGAAACGATGAAATAAAGGAATACAAAGCTCAGATACTTTGACATAATTTAAAAATATTTAGATCTTTTTTCATTAATATAGTGACTTGATAAAGTTGTTCTTCCGTCAGGACTTTCATATTACGACTATTAACTCAGTTACTTTCTCCATCTGGGGAATTGGCAATTATTGACAGACAATGACTAATGATGACTAATAAAGAATCCTGGAGAAACACTTTCCCCCTCTTTTCTAGTAATTTGAAAACACAACAGATATTTCAGTCATTTTAGAACTGAGTTATCAAGCATGAGTACAGATACAAGTTGTTTAACTATGGAAAGCAGCCATAGAAAATGAATGCCTTTTTTTTTTTTTTTTTTTTCTGTTTTTGGCCATTGGTTCTTGGATCATGAATACTGAGGTTTCTTTGTTTATTTTCCTTCAAGAAATCACTGTAGTTTTCCTTTCCCTGAAAAATTAGAGAAAATAATTAGTTTATAAAATTGCCTTGGTTACCACAGAATGTGGATGCCACAGCAAATGCCTGTGAGAACAAGGATACATGTGGGGTTTTTTTACATTTTCTGGTAGCTTTTTATTTTTTTAGATTTAGATTTGTTTTGAGTATTTGGCCTACTTGTCTCAAGAAGCTAAACAGCTTGTCTCCTGCTTTCCCAATCTGTTTGATACTTAAAGTGACTGAGACATTTGGAATGGCTCCTAAACTGAACAGATTTTCATTTAAAATAGAGAAGAGTAATTCCCAGGGCACCCTGGCACAGAAAGTGAGTAATCACTCGTCATGGCGAGTATTATTAACATGCACTTTAAACAGGGTATTTATAGCTATTACTACTAGTTGGAAGGGGAAAAACCAGCAAAGCTTGTATTTGATAGAAAATGAAATAGTATAGTCAAGAGTCTAGTACTCTTAACAGTGAATTTAAAGATAAGGGACAAAATGTGAGTGGATTTTAAATGTACACGATGATTCTTTAGAGACTAGGAAGTGACTCGTCCGTGGTATAAATCTTTGTACTGACCAGGCCAGCGGCAGGGAAAGGGTGGGAAGATCGTAAACAATGTGTAGGGGGAGGTGAAGGCATTTAAAGTCCAATAATTTGCGTTTTTCTTTCAGCGTATGTGACCAGAATATAGAGTCAGACTAACAGCGATAGTCAGGTTTCGGTACCAGTGTACCTAGGAAATTAGAAGCTACGAAATCAACATGATTTTGCACACAGTTTTTCTGTTTCTGGGTTGCTTCATGTAGATAACTTCTCTGCCCCATAGAGAGCTTTTAAAGTCCCAATGAAAGCCATTGTCTGTGTTCATGAATTCCGAACATCTAGACATGCGATTCATTCCAGTTCTCATTCACATGCTTTCCTTATGTAAACACAACTTACATGCATTTCTGTGGCTTCTCTCGTTGTATGTGAATGCATATGGTGCTTATTCTAGAAACCACAATCATATATGTCACTGCCTCTTATGAATTCCTTTTGCAGTTGAAAGCGGCAGACAAAAGACTCCCAGGAGTTTATGCATCCAAACTCAGACGTCTCCAGATGTGCTCTCCTCTGAGAAAACACTCGAGTTGGCTCAGTATAAAACCAAATCGGAGAAGCAGAGTCGGTTTATCCTGCACCTTAAGCAGCTTGTTTCCTGCGGGAACGCCAAGTTTGAAGCATTAACCGTTGTGATTCAGCACCTACTGTCTGAGGTAAGGATATGTGCGCCACCCCCCCCCCCCCCCCGGCAGTCTTTTCCCCTGAAGCGGGGGACCAGGATGGCAGGGGGATGTGGGGGGAGAAGGGGAGCAGCGTTCGTGGGTTGTTTTGTGAATATCTTTCCATTGATGATTGGTAAAACCCGATATAATTCATCCAGTTATGCTTTTGCCACTCACTTGATGCCCGAGTCACTCTTTAGGAATTGGGGGGGAAGCATTTCTTCTCTAGATAGTCTCGTAGACCAACAATCGATCGTGAAAAGACATTTGCCTGTGATACGCCGGTGCACCTCCAGACTATACAGTAAACCCTTGACTTTGTGACCTTGATTTAACAGACTTTGGATCGAACAGACAAAATTTCCAGCCCGCATGTCATATGTGAAAATTAATACCGTGTTAATTTTTTGAAAATGTATCTTTATTTTTGAAGTATTAGAGATGTCCTTCCTTTTTCCCACATTGACCTGCTCCACCCGGCATCCAACTTCACCACATTATTGTCTGTGTCCATAGGTTATGCATATGTGCATGTAAGTTCTTTGGTTAATCGCTCCCTACCCACACACCCATCGTTGCCTTCCCTCTGAGATTCAACCTGTTAATTTTAAAATGCTTTTAACCAAGATTTGCTTATAATTAAATTAACAGGGTTTTTTTATTGTTATTAATTCACTGTTATTATTACTTTTTAAATATATTTTTATTGATATCAGAGAGGAAGGGAAAGGGAGAGAGAGATAGAAACATCAATGTTGAGAGAGAATCATCAATCGGCTGCCTCCTGCGTGCCCCACACTGGGATCGAGCCCACAACCCAGGCATGTGTCCTGACCTGGAATCGAACCGTGACTGTGGTTCATAGGTCAATGCTCAACCACTGGGCAACACTGTCGGGCAATTCACTGTTATTTTTAAAAAACTTTAGCAAATAGGCCATATGTTGAAAAAAATACTGTAGTAATTTTACCAACATAAGTAAATATTACATATCTACAACTATAGTGTACATACTTAAATCCAGCAGTCACCACTCGAAAACAGTGTTCCGTGAGTGATTAGCACATGATCACACCCCATCTCGAGGTAATTGGTTCTGTTGTCTCGTGGCTTGACTTTCTGCAGCAGTTTTTTGTTTTTTTTAATTTTTTAAAATTGATTTCAGAGAGGAAGGAAGCGGGGGATAAAGAGATAGAAACATCAATGATAAGAGAGAATCATCAATCGGCTGCCTCGTACACACCCCCTACTAGGAATGGAGCCTGAAACCCAGGCATTTGCCCTACCAGGAATCAAACCATGGCCTCCTGGTTCACGAGTCCATGCTCAACCCGCCCCCCGCCTCTCTTTATTAAGGTATTATATATGTGTCCTTATCCCCCATTGCCCCCCCACCCCCACCCCACCCCACTACTCATGTCCTCGAGCCAGTTTTCACACAGGCCGGCTGAATGTTCCCACATGTGCCAAGTTGTGCCCCAGCTATGTACGTTTGTTTACTCTCCATGACTGGTGATTGTACACATTTGCTAGACTTAATTCAGTATAAATTTAAAAGTACAGTCTGGCCAGTGTGGCTAACTGGTTGAGCATTGACCTATGTGCTGGTTCAGTTCCCAGTTAGGACACATGCCTGGGTTGCAGGTTCCATTCCCAGTCCAGTCTGGGCGATTGCAGGAGGCAATCAATCGATGTGTCTCTCCCACATCGATGTTTCCCTTTCTCTCTCTTTTTCCCTCCTTCTCCCTCTCTTCCACTCTCTCTAAAAAATCAATGGGGAAAAGATATCCTCCAGTGAGGATTAACAAAAGAAAGAAAGGGAGGGAGGGAGGGAGGGAGGAAGGAAGGAAGGAAGGAAGGAAGGAAGGAAGGAAGGAAGGAAGGAAGGGAAATTGATGCTAGAGCTGTTAAGAAATTTGATGATCAAAATAAACAAATGGGACTTCATCAAAATAAAAAGTTTCTGCACAGCAAAAAGAAACCATCAACAAAACAACAAGAAAGCCCACTGCATGGGAGAACATATTTGCCAATGCTATCACTGATAAGGGTTTAACCTCCAACATTTATAGGGAACTCATACAACTCAACAAAAGGAAGATAAACAATCGAATCAAAAAATGGGCAAAGGACCTAAATAGACACCTTTTAAAAGAGGACATTCAGAAAGCCAAGAGACATATGAAAACATGCTCAAGTCGCTAATCATCCAAGATATGCAAATTAAAATGACAGTGAAGTACCATCTCACATTGTCAGAATGACTATCATCAACAATTGACAAGTGCTGGAGAGGATGTGGAGAAAAAGGAACACTCTTGCACTGCTGGTGGGAATGCAGACTGGTGCAGCCACTATGGAAGACAGTATGGAGTTTCCTCAAAAAACTAAAGATGGAACTCCCATTTGACCCAGTGATCCCACTACTAGGAATATATCCCAAGAAACCAGAAACGCCAATCAGAAAGGATATATGCACCCCTATGTTCATAGCAGCACAATTCACCATAGCTAAGATTTGGAAACAGCCTAAGTGCCCATCAGCAGATGAATGGATTAGAAAACTGTGGTACATATACACAATGGAATACTATGCTGCGGTAAAAAAAAGGAACTCTTGCCTTTTGTAACAGCATGGATGGAACTGGAGAGCATTATGCTGAGTGAAATAAGCCAGTCAGAGAAAGATAAATACCACATGATCTCACTCATTTGTGGATTATAGAGAACAACATAGACTGATGAAAAGGGACAGACCCAAAGACTGAGAAATAGCGATCAGGCTATCAATCCCCAGAAGGAAAGTAGGGGAGGGCGGGGGTAAGGGGAAGAGATCAACCGAAGGACTTGTATACATGTATATAAGCCAAACCAATGGACATGGACAACAGGGGGATGGGAGCATGAGTGTGCGGGGGCGGGGGCGGGGGTGGGGGTTGGGGGTTATTGGGGGGGATGAGGACACATTTGTAATACCTTAACTAATAATAATAATAATAAAAAATTAAATAAATAAATAAATAAATAAATAACTATATTACTCACAAAAAAAAAAAAAGAAATTTGATGATCATCAGACGGCTAGTAAGAGGAGGATCAAGACTTGAACTCACATCTAGGACACTTTGAATTGAAAATGTCCTATGAATATCCTTTCCATCCTTTGTTCAAATGCCATTACTGAGCTACTACTGCCTTTCCCGCTAACAAACACATGTTCAGATCTTCGTTATAGTGGCATCCCATCACCACCTGCATTTAACTTACATTACATTTGGCAGGTTCCGTAGGCAGACAGCCACAGTTAAAAATGCAAATTAAACAGGTCAGGCAGTTCTGCATTCATGCACCTCAGGAAGCAGGGGACCAGGAGTCAGCTCTTCCTTCAGCTGTGTTCTCAGTCCCTAAACACCCGTGGGCATGAACCTTCCACACACTGTGTGATCCTGGTACTTAAGGATACTGTCTTCCCAGCCATGGCCGCCGGTGTGGCTCAGTGGATTGGGAATCATTCTGTGCACCGAAAGGTTGCTGGTTCGATTCCTGGTCAGGGCACATGCCCGGGTAGTAGGCTCAATTCCCAGTGGGAGGGGGTGCAGGAGGCACCTGACTGATGTTTTGCTCTCACATTGATGTTTCTCCCTCTCTCCCCCTCTACCTTCCTTCCTCTCTCTCTAAAAACCCATTTACAAATCTTAAAACACAAACAAACATACTTTCTTCCCATATGACCTGGCTCCTAAACACAAGCCAAAGACACATTATTGTGTGTTCAGTGGGAGAAAGCAATTCCCACATGGAGGATCACCTCACAGGACGGGCACACTGAGAGATGCTTTGCCGGTCAAAGTAGGGCAAAATCTTAGTGTGTTTTAGGGATACTTTTACTGTATGTGAATTTCATCGTATACCTAATGTAGGTCCTAGTGCCTATGTAATTGTGACTCCACCAAATTTCTAAAAATTCAGTCAAAACTCCCTCTTTTATGAAGACTTTCCTGATCCTTCTAGTTCTATATCTACCTACTGTCTGGGTTCCAGGTGCACTTACATTTCTGTAGCTCTCTACCTTATAGGTAACCAGCTAGCACTTGTTTTTGCTTCTTTTTAAAAAAATATATTTTATTGATTTTAGAGAGGAAGGGAGAGGGAGAGAGAGATAGAAGCATCAATGATGAGAGAGAATCATTGATTGGCTGCCTCCTGCATGCCCCCTACTGGGGGTTGAGCCCGCAACCCAGGCATGTGCCCTTGGCCAGAATCGAACCTGGGACCCTTCAGTCCGCAGGCCGACGCTCTATGCACTGAGCCAAACCAGCTAGGGCTTGTTTTTGCTTTTTAAGACAGGAAGCTCACTGGGAGCAGATCTGTGTCTAGCTCTTTCTTAGACCATCCAGCAGCCATGGTAGTGCCTTATGTCTAATAGACATACAGTGTATATCCGAATGCACAAACGGATGAGTAGAGAGGAGGGAATCCAAGATGCGAGTTGAACATATGAAGTCTTAATGTGTATGTTCTTTGCTAGCTCTTTATAATCAACTAGAGGCCCGGTGCACAAATTCGTTCATGGGTGGGGTCCCTTGGCCTGGCTGGCGATGGGGACAGATCGGGGCCGTCTCACCCAGTCCCGATTGGGCCGATTGGGGCCGGCCAGGGGGGAAGGACTGCAGGAGGTTGGCTGGCCCTGGGAGGTTGGCTGGCCGTGGGAGGTTGGCTGTGGGAGCACACTGACCACCAGAAGGCAGCTCCTGCATTGAGCGTCTGCACCCTGGTGGTCAGTGCATGTCATAGCTTAGGCTTTTATATGTATAGGTTAGCAAATATTTACTGATTGTCTAATGTGTGCAGGGCACTGTCATAAAACAGTTGGGAAGGAAAGACATAACCAGGGGGAAAGTTAAGCAATTTCTTCAAAAACGATTTTCTCTTAACCCTCTATTACAGAAGTGATTGATTGATTGATTGATTGATATGTCGACCTGTAAATA